GTAAATAAGTATAACTTGGTAGAGATTAAAAATCTTTACGTTCTTTGAATGATTATCTGAAACACGTCATTGTTCGCTAACTTATGTTATACGTTAAAGCTGTTCGAACCTTTTTGCAATTGTTGCAGTTTTTTGAAAATCGAAACCTTTCTGTTTCCCGATTCGTTGGTTTCGGAAATGCAGATTTGGAAAATCGCTGCTGAATGAAACGCACTGCTATAAGGAAATGTACGGATGAGGTTCCGTATAAGAAAACCTATTTAAAAATTTACTTAAAAAGTGTAAAGAGTAAGTGTTATGCCCAGATCAATCTCATGAAGGTGCGTCATGTGTTCGACTTCATTCATAGTGTGGTAGAGGTGACTGAATGCATACGTGGACTGTACGAGTATTTGCTGGTGCTTATCTATGCTGCAAGTCTGTGCTTTGAACCTCCTAAAGAAGTTTGTTCGATTCGCACTATGCTACTACTTCTAGATAGAGAGGGAAGGTTTATTAGGACTGTAGATCAGAATAGACCAACGACCGATTTCAGGGCACCTGTGAGCGCTAAATTACACTCGCTTCGTATGCCTTAATTACAGGAAAAAGAGTTGGAGTATTGGTTAGTCTTCTTAAAAAATGAATCACAGCTAAATGCTCAAACTTTTATTTACCGTCTACTCGTTTTCTAACGCAGGATATAATGTAAAATACAAGACTTAAAGCTGAGATATGAGCAAAACTCACAACTTCAGATGAGTTTTTATCATCCAGATGAAAATTGGGTGGGGATAAACTGCCGGTTAAGGCAGATGTTGACGTTAAGGCTTTATGGCTGAGTAAATTATTTCGTTTAGCAAATTTCAGTACCAGATGGATCCTCTAGGTAATTTCACAGTAGGAAAAGGCAGCAAAAGTTGGTGTAACGTTTTACTGTGGTGATCTGAAATCCTCTTATTCATTTATAAAGGGTTTCCAGAAACTAATTGTCACTATTAAAGCAAACAGACGAATGAAATAAAACTTATGCACAAATAGGTTTATTTAATAATGTGTTATGCTCTTCGTAAAGGTAGAATAAGTAGGAATCTATTCAAGAACTCGCAGCCTTCTTTGCTCACTCTAAGCTTCATCTTCATCTTTGCCAGTGACGCTACCCACCATTCCAACCACCGCTATTTCCACTGTTGAAGTTTGTGTTGAAGCGCTCTTCATATTCATGTTACGCATAATCTGCCACAGATCTTAAGATGTCAGCTTACCTATCTGTTTGTTAAAGATTGTTCTTTAGTGTTTCTTATCCGATTACGAGCTCGAGCAACGTTAAAAGTGAAGAAGAGAGAAAACCTACAAAAGTGAGAGCAATACCGTTGTTACGACTAATATTTGATAAGCGGTACATCTATTTACTTCAATAAATAAGGCCACGTCTTGCACCGAAACTTTTCGTTGGATCAAATCGCTAATTGTTTCTTGCACTTGTCCCTTGATTGCACTTAAGCACCATTATAATTGACGTCCACCTAATTTTCTACACCACGCCGTATACGATGGGTGACATAGAATAAAAGTTCATATTCTCTCTATAACCTTTCCTTCATGGTAGCATGTACTCTTATAATCGCCTCAGAATAGCTCAAAAGGGTTAGCATCACCGTTTCATGCTGGTTGGGGCCCAAGTTCCCGAAAGGTCCGGTAGGGCCGTAAGTGAATGTGTATATAGGGGCATAGGTATTGTAGTAGCGATGATGCCGTTCACTACATTTAACACACTAGTTTGGCCTTGCTTTGATCAACTACTTCCGGTCGGTGAATTGCTACCAGAGAATTGTCTGACATCAGTTCGCTTCTTTTAGTACTTAAAAAGATGGTCGCTTGCGAGGATGAAGACCTGCGAACACACTGGTCGGGCTATCCACCGATTCCAAAGAAAACTGATCCGACCAGCATTCAACAACATTCGTATAGGATACGATAATTCTCAAGCAGAAGCCAAACCTACAAACGAACCATTCGAAAATCTTCCGGATGACGGATGCGAGGAATCGAATCGATTGTAAGGAGTGCGGGAATCAGCACAGCAAATGTGAAGACAGGTTTTCTAAAATAAAATAAAAACTTCCATACACAATTGCTCGTACAGCAGTGACTAGCTTATGACCATCCACTCAGATCAAAGTCGCTCTAACGAAGGCAAAGGCATCGAAACATTAGCCGAATAGAAGTTATTGTACCAATCTCATGTCAGCTCAATATCGGCAGGTCACCTAATGTGAAGAATTGGTGACGAATGGACTAGGATGGTACAATGGAGCTCAGTAGTGAGGTCTTCTGGGATAATCGCTCACAAAGTGGGCCGACATGTTCATAAATAACATCAATTAGCTGTTTTTTCAGCCCCAGATTTTTTAAAGACAACCAAATGATGCTCGTGCATGTCGCCATATTTGAGGCAAACAGAAACCGTAGAAAAAAGAAACAATTAGAAAATGAGGTGACGTCTGCACTAATCAAAACAGGGTGTCCAACTGTAATAAACAAGTAAATCCATTTATGCCTGTTTATATTTTGGAAAGCAGGTGGTAGTAAATTGGTGGCAAAATCATCGAAGTATTCGTAATTCGAATATTTACTGACTGATAGAGGGTTAAAAGTAGTAGAGCTCTCACATAGCTTTTGAGAGGAAGAAAATATTGTTCAACTAGCAAATTCCTATTCCACTGATAATTGTCCAATTTTGCACAAAAAACTATACATATGTACATATACAGCGCAGTGGTAGTGATGCCCACCATCACCGCCATCACGAGCATGGTGCTAGTTCGATTCCGATCCGGACCAACCAAGCCTGTGATCCCACTAGGGTTGGGAAATTGGTACCGGACTTGTTTGGGAAAAAAATATCTCTGCAATCCAATTAAGAACGCTTCAACCTGGCTATCTCAAGACTCCAGGGAGAGTGGTTCGACCAGAATTCTACGGCATTCAAGATGAAATAAAAATCCTCAAGCAGCAACCGAAGCCACACGTAAAGTTGGAAGACCTCCGTGGATGACAGATGCGATGAGAAGAACTGAATTTGAAAAGTGCTGCAATCCGCACAGTAGACGTGAAGACGGATCAGACGTATATGTATATATATATATATATATATATATATACATATACGTCTGATCGTCTGTACGTCTGTATATGTATATATATATATATATATATATATATATATATATACATATACATATATACGCGGAGTATGTCCAGCATGTGGATTAAAGGAGTACTTGGAAGATGTTGCGAAGTCGATTCAAACTCTTCATTTACTCCGAGAAATTACTATTTATATCTATTCGAACTATTTCGCATTTTTTGTGGTACTTAACGACGCACGCCATCGTATCCTTTGACCTTGTACAGAATTACTTCACTAGTACTACTGTCATTTGGACCGTAGAGAGGTATCAGCTCGGCACTTATTGTGTGCCGATTTTCGTTGTTATGCTCTTCTCAGGACAACTTTATGCGTGCTTTCCGATTCAGACCGTTTGGTGATTCCGAAAAAAGGATTCGGATCCGGCAATGCAGTTCATAAGGAATAATATTCAGTTATGAACGCATTTTTTTTTCGTTTGTTCTAGCGACTCCAATTGACTTTGACTTTTCTTAACCGGATTATATTTGCATCATGCCTCGTTCCCTAGTCATGCTTAATCTATTACACGGACCATCCTCTGTTAAAACACAAGGATGCTAAGATATGAGCAAAACTCGGAACCTCAGGGTGGGTTTTGCACACGCGAATACCCTTTTACTGGCGCTCACGTGCTATTCACCACATCAACAATATCCTTTCTTATTCCTAGTGTTAATTCTTACATCTTATGTTATCTCTCGCTCTATTAATTTAGTTATTGGATTACTGTTTAAAGTAAGGTTTACTCATACAAGTTTGAAATCAGGCTCAGCTTTATCACAACTACAAGCATATGCGTGGCGAGCACATCGCAACTCACACACCTTCCACCGCTATCATTCCTAGACAAGATTTCAGTGCGATATACGACTTAACACGGAAGTAAAGCATGAGCAAACCGAACACCGGATGTAACTTACACAAGCATCGATACCGAAGAGGATGAAGAACAACGATTCCGCGTCCACATTTTTCAGTCCATTCTTTGTCCTTAGTGTAATCGTGACACACATGGGCAACCCATTAACAGGTAGAAGAAGCAGACTTTGTCCGATAATGGGAAGCGCTGGTAAAACTCTACCTTACTGATTGTTGCTCAGCTTTCTTGCTTTTTTGTTTCATTTTATATTGAGCTCTTTCTGGAGAAGCAAACTGGAGGATTCAAAAATGGATTCAATTTTCATTTCCGCTGGTCTATAGTGAATATTGTATACCTTGATCACCCAATTAACAATTCAAAATATTCAAAAAAATCACCGGTAAATCAAAAAAGTGGTTGAAGAGCGAAAACTTGGGAGAGGGAACTGAATTTATGTTTGAGACATGAGTGGGGTATAGAGGTTAATGCAAGTTGCTGACTCGTTCCCGGACCTCATCTTATCTCTGCTAATATTTTTCCTAACCATGCAAACATTGGATAACTATGAGTTTTATTATTTTATAAGAGTTGTGATATCTTTATGAAAACCCAGATTAATTGGGAATGGATCTTAGAATCACTTACAACTTCCCAAAAGTTCTGATCACCTTTGATATTCAATCTATGATAGAACCTTTGCGTGCAACACTATATTCTCACCAACTGCTCTCATCGATAAATTTGAAGAAATCTTTCTGCAGTTTTCTTTTAAGCTCGTGCCATTTTACTAGTCAGCCTATCTGTTAGGGCTCTGAACTCAACGGCTCCATATTATTAGCTTTCAATGTTCAGCTGATGTTCAGCTTTCAGTGTTCAATGTGATGGAAAATAATTTACCCTGTTCAATTTCTCACTTGGAATTTGATTTCGAATCCTATGAGCAATTTAGCACATTGAAATATTTGAGTGAAAACTTTTCAGATGAGATTATGCATATTGATGTCACTGTCGGCTTCTCTGTCTTACTGCATATTTATCGATAAAGACTACAATGTGGCGATGGAGGATGAGACGTCGGAAACAAGCCTTCTTACTACGACATCTCGAAAAGGTTACCGTAATTGCACCAGAGACACCGCGATCATCGACAAACTTCTGAACGGAACTGGCTACAGCAAATTTCGCATACCTAGTTAGTTCTCATGATTTCACTGAGTGTGCTGAAATGTTTTCTTCCGGTCCTCATGTTTGACTCATTATACCACTTAACTGAGATACCGTACTATATATTGCATATTTGCTTTCTATTTTAGTTTTCGTTGATGCTGTAGCATTGACCACATTGATTGTTTAGAATAGATGCCTGATAAGAAAACACTATGAAGATAAGAGACCGAAATCTTAAAGTTAGTAAACAAAGTAGTGGTTGCTGAGCACAGTGGTAGCTATCACAAGCATGGTGCTGGTTTGACGCCGTTCCGAGCTCACTAAGCTTTTCACTCATTTGGAATCGGAAAATTTGTACAGATTTGTCGGGGAAAAGTTTACCTTTTCCAGTCGAAGTGTGAGCGTTCTAGCGTGGCTATCTCAGAACTTCAGGGAGAATCGACTCGATCAGCAAGCAAAAAAACATTCATAAAGAAGACCTTTGGGTACGATCCTCAGGCAACACCCGAAGCCATATGAAAGACTTCCTTGGCTGATGGTTGCAAGAAAATGAAACGAATTTAAGAGTGCTTGGCCCTCATGTTGAAGATTTTCTGAAAAAAAGCTGACAAAATATTTTCGCTTCTTCTTTAATTTTTTGAATAATTACAGTCATCACTAATTACTCAAATTACCTAGGCATTGTCTTGAAAATAGGAGACCTACACGGAATCGATAACTACCATTCTAGGTTTGGTTCTATCTTCTGCAAGTTCTTTATTCGAAAACAATAGCGGAACAAGGGCCAATCATGGCAGTGAATGTTTTGAAAAGAGTAAGAAAGAAGAATTAGATCCGCACGATAAATAAAACAGTACCTTAGCATGCATCACTTCTATTGACTCAGAAAGGATTTTTGATCGATTGTTACCGAGGTGGTCATGAGAACAGTGGTCAGCCAGGGGACACCTACTCAGTGCATAAAAGGAAAGGCCCTTCGTAACAACTGCAAACCAGAATCTCATCACTCTTAAGCGACATTGTTGTCACCATACAGAGCACAGTTCAATGAAGCAAAATTATTCTGTCAATACTATTTACATTCAATTGGAGAACGTTACGAAGTGATATTTCGAAATCGACATGGACCATCGACTCGGATTGTCGGCTCTGTGGAAGACGAAGACGTCGAAACGTTAGCCGTAAATAAATATCATTATCAACCTCGTGTAAGCTCATCAAAGAAAGAATACATGTTGATTAGTGATACCGAGGTTCAAGGAAAGTCGGCTTCGAAATATTACTACGCTTTTTGCTAGCTGATAACAACACCGGCTTCTGCACGATGTGCGCAACGATTTATGTCCGGAAGAAAAACAAGTTGTTATCACCAGACATTATCATTATATCCACCATCAGCATCGTGTATAAATGGGCATCACCGAGTAAGGATGCCTCATTCGAGGAGATGGCTCCCTGAAGAAGATCTGATTCGACACGAGGGCGAAGCTGCCACGTCGAGACGAATAACAAGCGAGGATCGTCGGCTCTGGGGTAGACGAAGACGTCGAAACGTTAGCCGAAAATAAATATCATTATCAACCTCGTGTAAGCTCATCAAAAAAAGAGTACATACGTTATGAAGTGAGTTAACATGAGAGTGGAAGAGTATGTTTGACAGCTACATTATTCCTTCCTTGCTCATGAAGTTGTCTTTGTAATATTTAGTAATAGGCACTAGTAACGAGACCAACGGCTTCGAAAATTTGTGTACAAATTCAGCTTCGGTTTAACACCATTAAAAAATAGGGGGTGGAACCTTTCCGAAACTCTATTCAGGGAAACAACGAAGTCTGTGCATCTATATGTGGAACACGGTATAGATATGGAACTCTAAAACTAGAACGAGGAAGTCTAGAGCTCTTATGAATAGTAAGCCAAAACCAAGAATCACTGTTGTGCTTGTTCCAACCTAACTCCAAGATGGAAAACCTTTTCATCCACATAGGTGAAAGTATAGTAAAGCTATCATTGGTCTCCAGCATTGAACACGCTTCAGTGCCTCTGCTTTCTATGTTTCACAACTGAAAAAGGATAAAAAAGATAAATCCTTTAGTGTTAATCAATTCCTGAAGAATGTGCCTTGCATGAAACTTCATCAAGCTTTGTAGCAACTTCTAGCACCGTAGAGATGACTAAATGCATGTCTCGGCTGCTGAATGAGTTGCATTGCGTTAGCAGTGTGTCAGTTGAGTATTCTTATCCTTCTAGAAGTCTGGTACCAATTTGTAGACACTAGAGCGACGACAGAGTTGTGAACCTGGAATGCGGTATCGAACCAGCGACCAAGCAAGTGTGCAATTCAGGCTCTAACCGCTGCGCCACACGTGCTCTTTTTTTGGAAATACTACTACTCATTTAGGCTTCCTGCTTTCTGAAGCAAGCACAAGACTGCATACAATGAGTAGAAAACTTGTAGCTTTCAATTTGGTTACTCTTTGAAGTGGTCTGTCTCCTCAGCAGATAATATCCGGAAAGGAAATACCCTTCGTACGCTTCCTGTCCAATGTTCATTCATCATTGCTCAGTTAGCCAAACACAATAAAAGACAATCTGCTAATGTGTAAGTTATGGTTTTTAATAAAAGGTTTCTTAGGAGACGATGGAGTGAAAGTATCAGTAGAATTCTGGATTCAAGCCATTACCTCCATCAATGAAATCACCAACGATTTTGAGGTCAGTGGAAATTCACCTACAACATTCTTACAACTATACACTGTATAGGCAATTCAAATAATTACATAGTTTGCGGTCAATTCGCATAACTGTCCAATTCACATAATTATGTACTCAGATGGCCCACTTCACTTGTCGTTCAGGGCCTATCATTTCTTGCATTCGTTTCATTCCCCAACAATACTCATCGAAGAGGTGATCGGGCTTGAATGTAGATTCGGCTGCGGATTGAGTGCCTGATATATTCTACCTTCCTTGATATTTCGAAAGCCAATCGAGCCTGCTTTTCTCTTATCCCGAGACAGCCGTGTTAAACCGTTCTCAGATCTTCATCATAAGCAGTTATCAGCTGTTAGGGATATGGACCGAAGCGATGTTTGCTGCACAGAGACGTGAATTCTTCCAGTATTCCAAAGATTCTTGTGGCAACAGTGGTTGGTGCGGTTTGTCGATCAACATATTGCAGATGGTATAACGTATCGAATCTCCAATAGCCGAATGCTGAAGTTGGAATCGATCTCTAATGCTTTCTCCTTTGTTCACAACTTTTAACTTCTGCTTAACACTTTGTTTCATAACATGTGCGTTTGGTCTCGTAGTCCAATCGAACAGTTACTTCTACTTAGGAAAATACCAGATAATCCATCCTTGCATTCAGTTCGGGTCACAACATTTCATTCATTTTCGTTGTCGTATAACCATCACCAACGATGGCAGTGGGAATCGCGTGTAGGTTTGGTTGCAACTTGGAAATCTAGTTGAACCTGGTTTTTTCGTGGGATTATGAGACCTCCGTGCAAGTTTATTCTCAACTCTTCACCACCAGTAAACGCTTGCCTTGTGGATCAGCAGGAAGTCTCCTTATTCTCTTCCAGGATCTTTACAGAATAGAAACTACTTCTGCGGTTAATCCAACAACCAATAAAAGACAGTTTAGCAGACGAAATTCATGACACCTATTCTATCCGAAATTTTCTAGTTTGGTTCTACTAAATTTGTTTAATACTATCACATGTAAATTTGTCCTTGAAAATTCTTGAATATGACCAAATTTTGGGAAACCTCGGTTGCTAGCCACATATAAACTGTAGTTTTGTCAGTGCTCAATAGTGGAACTTTAACATAGAAGCATATGTATTTAAATAGTGACCAGGACAATGAAAGAAATCTTGCTTGCTTCATAGCTCTCTACTGAGAGTGATGAATATTTTTAGATGGATATCTACATTAACGAAATGTGGATGGATCCGTCGTTGAACTTTGAAAATCTAAATCCTTGCAAACAAAACCTTTCGCTCAATCATCAGGTATCGACTATATAAAGGGTTTTGGTCTTAATCCATATTGTCAATCAGACTAATTCAGAGATAATGACCGCTTTTGTCGGGTCTCATGAGTACTTTGCTTGATGTTCCATTTTTTGCTTACAGACTAGTTCTCTAATATTTCAGGTATTAGATCGACTTTGGACACCGAACAGCTGCTTTATCAACAGCAAATTTGCGGAAATCCACGATTCACCATTCAAGTGGGCTTAGGTCATTTATTGAGTATGTGGCAAAAATCCAAGCTTTTTATAAAACGTATTTTTTATAATATACCGTATTACCGTTCCTCGATGTGATACAGGCAACTGGACTGCTGGTTAAGGATCCATCGTATTCCCTCCTCAGTGTCACGTTGGACAGCTTGGTTTTCTCTGAAATTCTTAAGCAACCTGCACCAAATCGTTCATTGATGCATTCAATATGGGTTTCACTTTTGGAGTAGCAAATGAACTCGGTTGATAGGCAGGATGTTTTTCTCATAGTTCTAAATATTGGGTATATGTAGGCAGAAAAAACTTCTAAATCATTGTATGTCGGTCCCCTAAGTATTTCTGCTCTAAACCGTAATATTGATTTGCACCAGTCTTCGCATTGTGTAAATCTTTTCATTTCTTTCATTCGGTTCGTTCTGTTTTATTCATCTATCAAGGTGCTCGGACTTTTCGGTTGAATTCAGCTGCTATTTGAAGACTTTGTCTTCCTCACAAATATCGCTAAATCCTGATCAAGTCGATAATCCACGTAATACCGGGATATCTGTACTAGAACGTTCTCTTTTCTTCACCACTAGCAGTTGCCAACTTTGTGAATCTGAAAGAGCTTGTGCAATACAGCACTAGAGCACTTCAAGCCACTGAGCTTAAAAAATAAGGTAGCGCACTGAAATTACTGAATGAAACGCCTACCTAATTCTACCCAATTTTATCACTTTATCATCGCAATGTTTGGGTTTGCCCCACATTTACAAGTAGTGCATATCAGCTCGTGTGGGAGGTGGGTGCCGGAGTGGTCGGAGACGCGCTGCAATACACACGTGGGATCGATCTCCACACCCTGGCACGCCAAGCCTTCCATCTCTCCGGGGTCGGCAAATTGGTACCAGACTTGTCTAGGAGGATAGAAACACTGGCTCGATACTTCGGTAGGCCACAGTGAGTTATTGTAAAGGCGACATATGTATTCAATCACCTCCAACGATACTTAACGAAGTCGAATGCATGGCGCATCCTTGAGGAATTGATCAACGCCGAGAGTTTTAGAGCTTTTAGAGCATATCATCTCATTCCTGCACCAACTTTGTTCCTGATAGAGGACATTGTGCTTTGCGAAAACGCAGACGTGGTCTTATGTACCTCGATTTTTGCTTTTCAAACCCCTTCAAAAAAACCAAACACAGAATATTTGCTAATTTGATTCCTTCGAATCATAAGCTTTTTATATTTGCCTGTATTACCTGCAGTTTCACTAGTTGTCAAATAGGTGTGAAGGAAAGCATCAGTAAAGATTTTCTTGGTGCCTGCCGTGAATCAGAGTTTATCCACTGTCTTTGATTGTTCAAGAAGCATGGCGAGCACATTGTTCAAACAAGGCGCTTTGTTTTAACTGTTCTTCACTAGGAAGTAGTCTGCTAGATTCAGCCAGCATATTAGTTTAATCTGGTTTACCGGAAAGAAATGCTTAACTCTTCAACTTGGAAGACCTTGCTGACGTATGGACCACTGTTGTGAATTGCATTCAACACCCAGCAACAGCTTCAAAGAGAATAGACCAGAAAATTATTGAGGAAACGGTGTCTACCTCTACAAGAACAGCAAGGAAAAAAATCTCTTGGCTACTTTGCAAACTTTTTTCACTTCCCAATGTGGTTAATGAGGACTAGAATCGGTTCTGAAAATTCTTCATGCACTGTGCGATTTCCAGAAACGTCTTTCTCATGCTGTACCCAAACGGAACGGTCTGGGTGAACTACGTGAGTTATTGCTTCTGGAATTTCAATAAAGCCTAACTACAAAAAGGAAAAACGGTCTGTGGCATTGAAACTTGCAGCGAGTAAATGTGAAAGGACCGTGTTCGTTATCGCTCGAGTTGTTTCCACTGGATATCCAGGAGTGTTTCCTCATTTACGAAAGGTTTGTGAAAAGAAAGTCTTATCAGTTTGATCTTTTTCTTCAACTTCACTTTTGTAGCTGACAGTATATATTTGATTCTTGAAAAAACCTACCAATTTATTCTACCCAAAAAAATTTCTTTTGCTGTTGGTGAGAGATTCTGATAGGTCATAATATTACCTGGAAGCAGAATCAGAAATTCATTTGTATGATCGTATAAACTGATGTTGTTGAGCCGATGCGAGGTTGGTATAAGTTTTTCTTGTCGTTGTTGTTGGTGTTGTTGGTCGATGGCTGACGTTTCAGCAATTTCGCCTTTCTCGGAGTCTGGACGTATTTTATGTAACAGTAGCCTTATATTCGATAAAATATCTATAATATTAGTGAAGATCAGACTTTCAAATAAATGCCATGTTGATCAAAAAGACTACTCACCGTGCTGTTATGAGTGGAGTAGAGCCACACGTTGTTCACGTGGGGTCGCGAGCCAGGCACACCCTGGGGTCAAAAAATCATTTTGAAATAGGCCACCAGATCACGTGTGATAGTGAGGCATTCGTGTTTCCTGTTCATCTTTGAATTTTTCAAATTTATCCAAAACGCCTCAAAAGTCTTCAGCTTTAATGTTCTCGATTCCTGCTGCACTAGGATCTGGACATTCACTTCAAAATCATCGCCATCGTGCTTTTGCGCTCATTTTGACTTTTCCACCTAGGTGTTCTTTTCTGCGGTCAGAAAGAGGTCTACTCGTTTCCCCAGTATATTTCTCACCGCGTGACTTTCATGAGATCAAATATATTGCACCTGAACGCATGCAATCCCTGTCTCTACCGTTAGAACGGATTCTACAATTGCCCGAACTGCACAAACGACCATGAAGGCGATTGGGGCATACTTGACGGCGTAGGGTATTGGGTGGAATGTCGCCACATGATTTTCAAGACCATTTTTACTTAGGCACCTCTTAATGGCGTAACTTACTTCATTTGTTATGAAGGGTAGCTTAAAAGGGATCTTGCTTAGTCCGAAACATTATTTTGGGGGACTTCTCTACATTTTTGTCTAACCCGAGTGGCTCCTACTTTGTAGCCATTGGAAATGGCTATTTTTCGTGCCAGGTTTTCCAATTCCTTCCTTTCCTCTTTTCCTGTGCACACATTTTTAGCCGTACGGTACATGTTTTTGGTAAGTGCTTTTTTCATGTATGAAGGATGATGAGAGGAGAGGTAGTGAACTGGTATGTTTTTACTACTTGGTTTCCGATACCATTTTGTTATATATCCACTTTCTGAGAGCTTTATTTGGATGTTTAAGAATGGAAGCCAGTTTTCGGTTAGTTTTTCCCGCGTGAAAGTTATTTACTTTGATTATCGGTTTAACAATTCAAATCACTCATCCATCTGTTCTTGTGTGGAGCAGGCGATGAAGTAGTCGTCTATGTATCGACCGTAGAGTAAGGGTCGACGATCGAGAACTGGAGCTTTCACCTTATACATGAAAGCGATGGCAATGCTTAGTACTAATCGCCATACCATGACCAACCTTCTAATTTGGGCTTAATATTTTTTGGATCACCTAAACATTGAACAACTAAGACACTGTTTTAAGAGAGTAATTAGTTGCTCAATTGACAAGTCGTACATTTTTATTTCTTTTTTTACGCTCTACGAGTAGCTCGAGAATGGCTTGCACTGCGAGGTTATTCAACACGTTGATCTTAAGTGAAGCAACATCGAATGACTCCATTACATGCGTGCTGTTTGGTTGCACGCACCATAGATGATCTAGAAATATTTTGGTGTTGGGTAAATGGGATGGGATGGATATCACCAGCTGGGTCAGGATAACGTTTAGGAACCAAGCTATTCTATCCGTTGGCTCGCCTATACAACTTACGATTGGTCGAACCTTGAACGATGAAGGGTCGATGGACGTAAGATCATCAACTAGAGTAAGTTTGTGCGTCATAATAAGTAGGTATAGGGCAGGGCAAGTTGGGTGTTCGCTCTTTAGTCGGGAAATAACTGAAGGCTCTGAACCCGCTCCCTTGCCATGTTGACCCCAAAGAAACATCGTGGAGATGTTTTTTGTTATTCTAATATCCAACTGACTAGTAATAGCCATAAACTCTCCACCTTTATCACTAATGGAAAGTCGCATAGATTTTGAGTTCAAAAGTTCTCTAACCTGGCGCATACCACATTTTTGTTGGTGTGTGATGTTGGAGCTGTAGCTTAATTTTTTATGTTAGTGGTGATTAAGTTGCGGAGAATTTCGTCCGAAAATAAACGAAATGCATGATCAATATCGCCATCTGGTTGCTCTTGCTTAAAGAAAAGTCAGAGGAAAGGAATTGGTGGTAGTCCGCTTCTTGGAAATTCTTTACCTAACCTTTTTAGCCTAGTCCTATTACGCAGCTGATCTTGAAGTTCATGCAGACTGCACGTGATCCTGTGCAGGATTGGCTTAGAAATGGGTTGACTAGGCGAAAAACTCGGACCCAATTCTAACAGTGAGCGTGCATTTTCAGGAAGCGCTATCGCTCCCAACGCAGTAACTCTGGATGCTTTTGGTTCGCACCATGTCAGAGTCTATCAGATTAGATCAGCTTATAAGCCCATAAAAATAAATGTATCAATTATTTATGCTGACGTTCATAGAAAGTCGGTCTTTTGAATTGTCTAGAATAAGGAACTGCTTTTTGTGATATTTACGTTTATGCAGTTGAAATATTGTCGAAACCAAATGTGGTTCATTATGGATGCTTTGCATTTTTCAATTTTAGTTTCAATTACAACAATCAAGAAGTACAGATGCGGTGGTCTGAGAATCCGAACCCTGTAGCTACTATGTCGCCTATTGTTCTTCCAGATTTCGACCTCATTAAGGTCTCACCAACACTTGTCACTGCTGTGAGTTTTTATTCTCTCTTATTCCTAACTTATTTCGAACGTTGTTATATCTAAAGCTCAAATCATACGTTTATTATTGGAATTAACGAGTCTGAACGTGTAATCCTGGGATTAGAGGTGCTCTGCGATACACACATGACCTAACTCGATTCAACGTCTCAAGCTAGCGAAACGTTCCATACCGTAAAGACTAGCCAGATGCGCCAACGTTATCCTTAAGGATAAAAAATGTCATGATTTAAGGGAAGCTTTCGATAAATTATTGAATTGTTTAAATCATCACTACGATTTTTGATGAAGTTGAATGCATTGCGCATTTTTCAACGATTATCCTGGGCGTTTTTTTCTTTATACTTGATTTCATCAACATATTGGATTATTACGGTGATCACTTACGGCTTTAGGTAGTAGACTACAGTCTGTCCTAGTGGCAAACTTGAAAAATACGCTAACCTTCCCAGATTTTCGAACATCGCTTTTCTTGCCTTTTCGCACTCTAATTCTACCCTACAAGGGTCTGAGTACAACTCACATAACATATCAACATAAGAACGATCAGGCTGTTTTCACGAAGAGACAAGGCTTTGTAAAAAGTCTCATTTAGAAATAATTTTGCCCGACTCACACCGTTTACTTTTATCTCGGAATGAAGTGTGAATTTCTGGACTTAACGAACTTATGGAAGAACTCAGAGCACATGCCTACGGTATCGCAACGATTACTACTTTTTCGAAAAGTTGCTCCTTCCGTTAAAAACAGTTTCGCTCCTGAACTGAGTGGATTTAAGCTAGGGTACAGTGTGAACTGGTTGTGAGCGATATTTCCTTTTCCTGTTTTACCATTTTCCCCCCAACGGTTTACCGCCTCATTGTAGCTGTTCCAAGGTGTCAGGCTGCGATGTGCAGCGCGAGGATCCATTCTGCTGGCAGCGTCTCCTAAGCTGAGAAGGAGTCCAGCGTTTCCATCAGGAACCCTAACTAAGAGTAAACAAACACCAGAATCTACCACCGTCCTAGTATCAAAGTCACATGGTGGCAAATCCCGCTCTAAAACTAAACTAAAAATACTCGACGTCAAAATATTTTGTACAATATTATTGCAGAATTCTTTTTCGTGGGCTTGAGTGGCAAAATTCTTTTACATGATTAAATTTCACTAGCATAAAGTTTGTATCCTAGTGACTTTGAATGGTAAAACGAAACGAAATAAACTTTAAGAGTTTTTATATCTTCAATAGACCAAACGCTTCTGTTGAATTCGTTCCTCATTGCTATGATGTGCGGGTAATTTCAGCCATATCCAGCTGGATGGTGGGACGAGTTGCATGTGCGGCTTACATTTGAACGCCGATATATTTGGTACTTCATGCAAGCCTATCTTCCCACTTATCTCACTATTTTTATTAGGTACGTAATTAGCGAAACCTCCTTTTCGGTGATAGTGTGATTACTTGAAACGTTGTTCCTTGTTTGTAAGAATTTCAGTTGGATATCGTTTTCGTTGGGACCACGAGCTATTCCGGCTCGAACAATGCTCGGTGTCAACGCTCTCTTGGCGATGATTTTCCAGTTTGGCAACATCATGCGAAACCTACCTAGGGTATCGTATATTAAAGCAATCGGTGAGAAGTTCTTACCTTTCCTAGTTAAAACCTTAGCGGGCTGCTCTTAACGAAAACTATGTCAAGTAACAAAGCGCAAGGTGTTGTTTACTCCGCCATAATTTTTTAATAGTTATTACGTCCTATTCCTACACGATGGATTCTAAACAAGATTGGTTGTTTTCATTTTTTTTACAGACTCTTCGAAGAAAATAGTTTCCTACTTTGTGCAAAAGAAATCGTCCTTTTGCTTTCATCATTGTCTTGTGACTTGCGATGTAGTTTTTCAACTCACTTTTTGTATGTTCAACGCAAGTTTCGAAGTTAACCTTTTATTTGCTGCCTATTACAATTTTTCACGGCAGGGTATGATGTTGTGCAATACAACCACAACGATGATGAGATATTCGCAAAACTTGGACCAGGGCTGGACCGGACTATATACATATATATATATATATATATATATATATATATTACCTGTATCACCTGTAGTCCCGTTGATCGTCGAGTGACTCGAGCTGGCGCAAGTAAATCTTCCATTTTTCCCTATCGCGTGCAAGAGTAGCCCAGTGGGTTCTGCTCGCTTTAGAGACTTGTCGAGCATCACATCTTTCTTCAACGTTCTTTGTCAAGAACTCTGTCCATAGGGTCAGTGGTGTTCCTGCAGTACGTTTGACATCCCGAGGAATTCAGTCACTAACGGATCTTGTCCATCGGTTGTCATTCATGCGCATTACGTGTCCGGCCCTTCGACTGTTTGGCGTACAGAACGGCATCTTTGATTTTTGATCATTGACGCAGGTCGGAGCTTCGGATTCCTTCCCTTACTAGTGTGAAACACGATACTTCTAGCATCGTCCTTTCGACTGCGCGTTCGATAACTCTGAGTGACCTTTCATCCTACTTACGCATAGACCAGGTTTCTGACGCATACGTTAGGGCAGAAAGTACAGTTGAGTTGAAAAGGTGGGTACGGAGTCGGGTGTTCTTTGTTCTCTTCACTACATCATCGATGCTCTTAAAAGCTCTCCAAGCCGCTCGTTTTCTTCTGCTCAGCTCTGGAGCTAGGTCGTTGATCATATTGATTTTCCGACCTAAATAGATATAAATGGAGCATTCGGAGATATTCGTTCCGATGAGCGCGAATGGAGCATGCGAAACCAATTCGTTCCTCATGAACATCGTTTTTGTGAGATTTAGTCGAAGACCAATCCTTCCACAGACTTTGCCAAAGTCGGTAAGCATACGTTCCACTTGGCTAATGTTTAGTGTTATTAGGACGATGCCATCAGCAAAGCGAAGTTAGTGTAATTGCCGATCATCGATTTTCGCTCCCATATTATCCCATTCCAATGTTCGCATGACGTTCTAGAGGGTGGCGATAAATAATTTCAGCGAGATGGTATCGACTTGCCTGACCCCTATTTTGACGTCGATGTTAATATCGTCGTGAAATGCTACTACCTTAATGTTTAACGTTTTGTTTTCTGCCTTCTATAATTTTCATGGCAGGTTACTAAGCGAAATACAACCACAACGTTGCTGAGATATTTGCAAAACTCTGGACCGCAGGTGTCTATGGTGGGGAACGAACGCGCTATTGTCCTTTCCGGGGAGTAACGCGTTCACCACCACGCCATGCGGGTATCTCAGCAACGTTGTGGTTGTATTTCGCTTAGTAACCTGCCATGAAAATTATAGAAGGCAAAAAACAAAACGTTAAACATTGTGATTTCAACTGCAGCCATAGCTTAACTGGGTTCTGTGCCGATTTGCGCTCCCCAGATCAACCCCACTGACGGGTGATTGCTGTGGCAAAAAGATCGATAGATAGCTGAGAGACAGGCGAAAAGAAGGACCCGCATGGTATGGTGGTGAACGCGTTACTACCCGGAAAGGACAATAGCGCGTTCGTTCCCCACCATAGACACCTGCAAATATCTCAGCAACGTTGTGGCTGCTATCTTAGTTGTGAAATTTTCGTACAGCCCACGAAGAATCTTTGTGTACTGAGTAGGGACTCCTCGACCATCATGGGCTTCCAAAACTGCATCTATCTCAACTGAATCAAAGGCCTTTCGTAAATCGATGAAGGTGAGATAGAGCGGTCTTTTGTACTCTCGCGATACTTCAATGAGCCTTGCTATCGTGTGGATGTGGTCCATCGCACTAAATCCTTTCCGAAACCTTGCTTGCTCACATGGCTGTCCTTCATCCAGTGTTCTGTCAATTCTGTTTAGGATGAACCGAGTGAAAAGTTTGTAGACAACAGACAGTAAGCACATTGGGCGATAGATGCCGATATAGTGCAGGCCACCCTTCCTGAACAATAACGCGGTCCTGCTGGTCTTCCACTGTAGGGACCTAGTAGGGACCTTTCATTCAGACACGTAGCGTGTGAAGAGAGGAGCCAGTGTATTTACGAGGACTGGCGGAAGGTTCTTCAGGTGTTCTGGTCCTATCCTGCCCAGACCTGGTGCTGTTCGATTTTTCACCGACGAAATGGCATGTCGGGTTTCGGAAGAGAGAAGCGGTGGCACAACACATCCTTTTTTATTTCACATGACGGAAGGTGGACGTGGCTATCGAAGAGATCCGAGTAGTATTCGTGAATAATTTTCTCCATTGCCTTTCTGGACGTTGTACCTGTTCCATCTGGGTGCCGGAGTCCAATCAGCTTGGTCATGTAATTGGCGAAGCTTCGGTGTGCTTTGCGAATGCTTTTCCCAGCCTCTTCAGCTTTGACCATTATTACTGCTCTTCTCTCTTTCAGATCTTCTTTGATCGCCTGTCTGCATTGTTTTGCAAGTTTGGACGTTAGTTCGCGATTACCTGCAGCTCGTGCGATTCCACGCTGGCCTATCAACTCGAGTGTTTCTGGAGACAAAAGTCTCTCGGTGACCTTCGAACTCTGAGCTTTCATAGCGCTAACGTAAAGATGTTGAATGTGCCATTCATATTTTTCGTCGATGTTATCGACAATGGCATCTTCCCAGCAGCCGACTAACGAATTGATTAAATCCCAGTTTACGGTGGTTCTGGGACTTCGGTTTTGGAATTTAGCGGCTTTTTCTCCTTTCCACGAGTAATCGAATCTTGCACGAAGGAGACAGTGGTCTGATCTCGTGTAGAATTTTGGGACAACAGCGAGATTGGTTAGGCAAAACCTTCTATTTACTATGATGTGGTCTATTTCGTTATGGTACCCTCCATTGGGAGACTCTCACGTCCAGCGCTGAAGGTGGGGCTTCTGGAATTGCGAGTTACCATGGTTTGTCTTGGTCGTTAGGATAAACTCAGAGATCTGCTCAGACTGTTCGTTACATTCTAATCTGTGGGTCCCACTGTGACGCTCTTCAGATGTTCTTGGTGCAATCTTAGTGTTGAAATCTCCAATAATGACCTTGAAGAATGTGTGGTCATCTCTGTAGAACTTCTCTAAGTCCATGTAAAACGCTTCGACTTTTTCTTCGTCATAGTTTGATGTGGGCGTGCAAACGACGAAGTTTATCAAAGCCAGAATTGATCCACGTCTTCTTAATCGTAAACGTCCGCTTTGGGTTGCAGGTTGTTCGAATGAATCGATGTTCATGGACAAACTGATGTTGACGAGAGCGCCGACTCCCCTACTTTCGCATGTTCCGAGGAACAGTTCTTCTCCGGTGTCATCGATGCTGTTGAATGAGTGGCGTTGTCTTATCTCAGCCAGGGCGATGACGTTGTACCTTGTCTTTCCTGCTTGTATGAGTCTTCTATCGAGGAGTTGGATGCAAGTGTACGTGCACTGTAGGTACAGATCGTCACCATAGTTTTTTAAAATTCAGGCAGCTTCCATTAGCCCTGAGATTTTAGCAGCCTCTGCGTACTCGTTCTACCCGACGCTGCGAAATTGGAGGCTTTTTCGTGTTCAGGAGGGTGAGGCCTGCTCCTTTTTACTGTGTTCAGCATTTTTGATACCCACGTGTAGCTTGCTGGGCTCTGAACACGGCGGCTGGGTATACTCTCGGGTAGCTTGTCAAGCTCTTCTAGAGTGGACATGGAGATTATTTGTTGGAGGCGATTCCTAACCGCCTCGTCTATACTTCCGAGTCACTTGATTGCAGGCTTTTCGGCGAATTGACTTGTAGAATACAATCCACATAAGCGAAAACGCGCCATCAGACGCATGCATGAATACACCTCTCGAGTACAGAAAGTACAAGCCAAATCGGCGCAGCAGAAACGGGAAGTGCGTCACCTGGATCCACCTGCGTCTCAGGGAAGCAAAGGTCGCTTTTGGTCCGCGATTAACCCCCTATCCGCCACCTGGGGACGCACCACGTAGCCTTGCAACTAACCGGCTCGAGATCGCTCATATGAGGGAGATCCGTGGATATATATATATATCTTCAAAAGTGTTCACAACCATACCATAACATCTATGGCAGGGGTGATGGACATATACAACTTTCACTGCATTGGCTGCTCATACAGGTGCCAGATTATATCGTACACAGCAACCTGTCAAAAAGATTCCTACAATGTGTCTAAAAAAACTAAAGACAGGAATGGCTCGAACGGCTACCACAAAGAGCAGTATTGTATAAGGAAGAGCTCTTCCTCTAAACGTATGATGTTAAAAAATGTTCCTTTGAACATATGATGTTAGTATGAAGTGCTGAGATATTTGCAAAACTCCGGACCACAGGTGTATGCAGTGGGGAACGAACACGCGCTGCTCCCCGGTAAGGACAACAGCGCGTGTTCGTTCCCCACTGCATACACCTGTGGTCCAGAGTTTTGCAAATATCTCAGCACTTCATACGAGTTATATTTCACAACATACCCTGCCATTAAGAAGAAAAAGGCAGTAAATAAAAGAGTTAAGAATATGATGTTAGTGTTTGCCTTAACAGGAACCTCTCCGTTAACACTGATTTTTTTTTCAACAAGCGCTAACCTGAAACAAATACTTACTGTCTAAAAGATGTGGACAGTTACTATCTGAACCATCCTGGTCGTCTGCACAATACAAAGCTACTACGGAGACTAGACCACCGCATTTTATATCACTCTTTTATATCAATAA